CCGGGAACCTAAGACCGTCAGGCATTCAAACACTCATCTATGGTCGCCCAAGCGAATAAGGAGACAGAAGACTGCGGAAGGTAGTCCCGCTAAGAATATTGTATTATCTAGTCCGGATAATTTTGTTGAGTACTTGTTCGATACAACCCTGGCTGATATTTCTGTGAGCGCTGCTAGAGAACTGAGGAGGTCATTGCGCTGTGAGAGACTTCAGTGGATGGAGCGTTTTCTGAATCGCAATGGTATCGATACTATCAGTCGCTTATTGATTGAACTTACAAAACTGCAGTGGCGGTAAGTTTGCAACGCAAATTTAGAGGAAGTGGTTAACTGATGAGCACAGAGAAGATAAGGAGGACAACCTTTTTCATGAGTTAATGCTCTGTCTGAAGACAATCAGCGAATTTGAGGTGCGCTAGTGTTAGTCGACTAATATTATCAGCAGCTCATCAACTTTTACAGATGGGACGTAACCATTTGACCACCATTGCTCCGCTTCTTTTCCCAAGGCTGATTGATTTCATGTTCTCAGACAAGCAGCCAACGTATTTTGCTGACAGAGGTCTAATAGTTTCACTCATTGGTACCTAGAACTTTATGTAGAGATTCTTGCCAACGCTAACCACCATTAGCGATCTACATTTCCACTGCCCAAAAAGAGGATCGCTATCACAGATGCAAGTCCATTCTGTCATATATTGAAGATCCAACACAGCCAGTTGAAAAGCTGGCGCCAACGTTCATCGAAGTCAGTCATCGTCGACGACCATACAAGAATTGGTGTCTGGAATGCGGTAATGTCGTTCGTGATGTGTTTTGGGTATTCATACACACCAGCTGTCACATCAGGCTTATTTCTATCAAACCTGAGCAGGTATTTGTAAGGCAAAGGTCGGGTGTCGGCCACGTGTGTGGTGGAGGGTATATGTCAGGTGTGGAAAGGGACGCAATTGAGTACCTAGCCTTTCATATCGATTTATTTAATCTCATCCTTGCCTCAGTGCCGACTCGAAGTGAGAGGAATTGTATTCGAAAACAAATGAAAGATAGCGGCTTTGAGAGTCTTATCGGCAAGTACCTAAGAGCTACCAGTGGACTTCATTCAAAGAGTCTCCATATTAATTTGGAGACACTAATAGCATTAGCGTTCACAGATGGTTGGAATACAGAATACATGAGAACTGGCATGAGAAGGGATGGAGAGGCTCCGGCTGATAATCTCCTAAGAGTAGTACCAACTTTCCCGATAAAGACTGTGCTCTCGCACGATCTATTCACTTTGCCGGAAGTTGATATTTCTCTTTCTGGTTCGGAATCACAGAAATATGAAGCAGCAGCGGATCCCTGGAATTAATAATGTAATGTAAAGTGCATTTCATAGTAACTAAATAATTAATAACGAGCGAAAGAACAAGGTCCCAAACTACTCCTAAACATTCACGATATCTAAATCCCTAGTATATGGCCCAACATTTATATGTACACTCCTTCCTACTATAGAGGTGAAGACTTCTTCCTGAAGAAAAGATCCCTAAATAGCTCCTTCAGCCCATACTCGTTACCCTTCTTTTCCATGATGACGACTTTCTCCCCGAAAAGATTGTTCACAATTGATCCCCTATTCTCAGTTTTCTTAAGAGTAAATGTAGTTCGCCCAGACTTAATCAGTTCATGCCTCTCCTTCAGAGCATCGGCTAAGAGTGGAGCTACTTCTGCATAGCATAACCTTAATTCTCTTTCTAACGTCAGGTAAGAGCGGCGAGCTGGTCCCGGAGCCTACTAAGTGAGCTAAGTCCCATTAATTAGAGTAAATATAAACATTCCTACCATCAAATTATAACTTCGAATACTATCGTTCAGTGTCTTCACTGAAAGCACATGGTATTTATGCTCAATGGATTCCCAATCATACATAGGCAATAGGGAAAATGTGGATCCCGTGGGCGCTGCAGGCTCCTCGCGAAGATCATCGGTTTCCGCGGAAGTTGCGACTTCAGCTGCAAGGACACCTTCTTCCATCTGCTGTGTACTTTCACCTACATCTTCGACCTTCTCGGTATAAAGGCCCAATCGCTCCGCCTCAGCTCGTTCAGCTTCGGCATATTTCCTTGCTTGGGCCATTTGCGCCTCTAGATTTGGGCTCGTTGCCGCAATTAATTGCATAGCATGGCGTTTCCAGCTCTCGCGAAGGCCTATCCTAAAGCGTCTGAGATCCTGCCGAAGACTCGCCTGCTTCAAAATCCACGGGGGCTGTACATCTTGTCTTTGGATAATTCTGTTCAAGAAGAATTCTTAAGTTTTCAGTATTAGTTTTTTTTCATATAATGATATTCAACAGACCGAACTTGCCTGTAGTATCTAAAAATGGCGAGGAGATTCTCGCATCCATGTCCAGCTTCTCACCCCTCGGTAGATTATTGAATTGGCCCCGCGATCTAGCCTCTTCAATTCGCTCGTCCGCAAGAGCACGGAGGCCATGAAGGGTTCCTGGCATAGCCCTTGGACCACGAAATCGGTCTTTATATAACCTTGAAAATTCAACATCTTCTTCAACTTGTCCGAATGATTTCCCATCTTTTTGCTTGTCCTTATCCTTGCCGCCTGATAGAGTACCGGTATTCTTCGCGATGGAGTACTCCAATGACAGCTCTCGGGCGCGAGCTAGTCGCACTGAGTCCGGAATCAATCTTTTCGTCTTTGGGAGAGGAACGGTATTACCACTTCCACCGGTCTCCGCTCCTGCGCCGCCAGAAGCAGGCCCCCCTCTAATTACTCGTTGACCAGTTCCACTTGGAATCCGCAGCGGCTTGTTTGAATCAACTAACATCCTCAAAACTGCATCTTCCGTAGACTCCCTACCAGTCCATGGTTTGCTAAATGCTAAATCCTGAGTATGTTTACTCGCAGATTTCGGTAATCGTGTGCCGGCTATAGCTTGCGCGTGTTCCTGTTTGAACGTCTTGGCTGATAATCGCTCTTCCAAAGCCTTCAATTCCTTCGCTGACATAAATTCACTATCGGCTGCCTGTCCAGCCATTGGATCGTCTTTAACTGGACTTGCTTCTTCAGCTAATTGTGAGAGACGGCGCTTCATATACCCGACATCGTGTGCGTCAAAGGTATTTGTAGAATTTGGCTGTATTGTTGGCCCGGACTGTTCCGATTCGGGTACTTCTTTCGGTTTATTGTTTTCTGAAATTGCCGAGACATGCTTGATCGGAGTGGTGCTGTGTTGCCGAATTGGTGTGCTAGTGGTATTTGATCTCGTGAGGGCGTGTAGCTGCCCAAGGTGGAGCGACGTCGTAGATCCTGCCTTCCGGGAGCAATTAGAGAAGTACAGTTTAGCGACGCAAGAATACTTCATGACTATTAATATTCGATTGCCTAGATCTGAATGATCGGTTCGCGCGCGAACGGCGAGCATTGGCAATAGCCCACAATCGCGTTTATCTCAGATGATAAATGATGAAAGGAACGTTGTCTATGCGTCGGCAGTATCAGTACTTTCGGCTTCCATTTCCCGCAGTTAATACCTTGATAGGTTGGCCACAGAATACACCTTGACACGTGTAACATGTATCTTGACGATTTCTAGAATTGTAGGTACCGCGTACTTTATCCGCCATTTCATTAATTACGATATTGTTCACACATTGCGGCGTTTAAATGCTAATCAATTCGACTAATAAATACCGAGTAACATATTAAATGCCAGCAATATTCACTATATATCCCGTATCGTACACACATCATCATACATGAGCTATTTATTGTTTCTATGGTTGAGGTGAACTACGGCGGCTTCAGCTCTGTCCAACTTTGATGCAGCAGCAGGTACGCTCTGTATCTTTATTAGCACGGCATATTTGTTATGGACACAATTCTTAAGTAAGATAAACAAACCTTTTTCATCTCCCTCAAAGTAGCAATTAGTTTCTCGAAATCGGCCATAATACTTTCTCGGCGAGGTAAGAATTCCTCAACCTTCACATCTGCAAAGTCTGCGTCATCCATAGCCAGATCGTCGGTTTGGGCGTTAGTTCGCTGCTCGTCAAGCCTATCTAACTTAGACTTGTATGCTTCGAGAGCACGTAGTGGGGCTTCGCGTCGTAGTTTGGTGACTTCTACAGTTTCTTCGTCGATTTGAGCGTACAGTTCACGAACTTGCTCATTGAGTTCTAAATCGAAAGGCTCATATTCTATTCGCGTTATTAGAATACGCTTCAATAATAAAATCAAAGGTATAATAAAGTGTATGGCACTCACTGTCTGCTTCTTCCTCTTTATCAAGAACTGCCCCCTTCATCAGCGAGTCCAATGAAGGATTCGCACCTTCTATCCCGTTTACCACTAAACTATACTTTGACAACTCAATCGTCCGTAAGATAAACTACATATCATTTAGATTCCATTAGTGTCCCACGATTGACGAGCTTTCAACGCGCACGCGTATTACAATCACATACCTGCTTCAGGATCTCCTCAACCTGCTCCTTCAAAGGATCTTGGCCCCCGGACGGCTGCGTGGGAAAATTGCCATCAATTTTGGCTTTAGCAATATCCAATAACTTTCTTTGTAGAAAGCGGACATCCTGTGAGACAAGTTGGAGTTTTTGGTGGATGGGCGGGTGATGAAGTTGCCGAATTTCAAAATCCGGGATCATTCTCCCTGATTCAGCTGCCGCCATCAAATACTAAAAGAAAACACTCGAGCAAAAAATCTCGTCAGAATCTTGTTTGCACGGACAGCTGGACGCCGTGTACGAGGAGAGGTATTGGCGTTGAACTACTGGTAAGGTTGTTTATTGATTTGTTTACGTGCGAAAATACGTGGACGAATTAAAGTCACAGACCAGGCACATTAAATTCATACAGCTAGTCGATGAGCATGTATCTGCAAGATGGTTAAGGTTCCAAATATGCGGTATAACTTCTATTGTATGAAATATGTGCTACTAAATGTAACTATTATAACACTACATAAATTGGCAAAAAAGAAATGGACAAGTCCGGGTTCGAACCGGAGACCTCCAGTATTTTCAAGCTATATCGAAGCAATGCAAAACTGGCGCGACTACCAACTGCGCCACATGCCCGTCTTGCGACTAAAATACAGAGTCACCCATACAACTAATGTAAAGAGGTCCAAAAGATTGACACTTACGGCAGTAAATGTAAATGCGATGCAGGAATTTGACGTAATTAAGCGTTTTAGAATTCATATAAGTTTTGGAAGTCTTCAAAGCGTTGGATATCATCTACTAATAATAAGGAAGAGCCAGACAGCATCTATAAGAGGATATATCAGATTAGCGGTTCTCTGAATGAGTCGCATTTAGCCCTGTAGATCAGTTAAGAAGCTCCCAATAGGTCTCACTCACCAGATCCGTCTGATGCTGGTCTCAGATCATGGCACCAATCTGTTACCGTAGCAACCGATTAACTTTGTGCGACTCAGATCGGACGAATAACGTGGGACGTTTCTTAGCGTATCTGCCATTAGCGTATATTTACCTTGCCCTGATTCAGGCAAAGGGAAAATAATGTGGTACACGCTGTCTCAGCGGTCCAGGTTCCAGATCTCGGTGGCTGATGTCTCGCAACAAGCTTCCTCGAGTGATACGTTGTTATTACTTTCTCTTCTTCCTCTCTTTTTCCTTTCTGCACACACACTCTTTGTTTCTTGCCTTGGTCGCTTATTGCATTTATGCTCCTGGTGGGCATTTAGAATTTGCTTTGTGTTTTAGAGATTGGTTATCGCAGCTGGTCTGCTTAATTGCTCGTGTTCCGTTCTCCTTGATATAGACGTAAGTAATAAGTACTTCCGCGCTGGGGGGTGAGGAAGTTGACTTATGGTATTTAGATCGCTGGTCGATCTTTATATAAATATATATATACAGATTCAATTTCAGCACGATATATTATTGAAGAAAATATAAAAAGAGAAGATGTCCCTAGCTACGCTACGAGGTCGTTCTCGACAGCGACGAGGACCGGTGCGCCCACCGGTCCTCGACAAACACCAGCAGCAATACATATCTCCGCAGCAGCAACTACCACCTTCCCTGTCGCCGCAGATGATTTATCACAGCGCGCCGGACTTGTCGATGTCAGGGAGCGATTTGGACCGGTATTACAGCTCTGCGGTCGAGGATCCGGAAGCAATACTGATGGAGAGAATGTGGAGTCAGCAACGCAGCACCCCTGGAGAGCATGCCTATGAACAAATTTGCGTGCCGCCTAGTTCACCGCCGCAGCAGAGTTGGTACCCATTTTGCTCTTTTATAAAGAGATATGTCTAACTAAAGTGATCCAGAGTATTTTGACTCCTGCAATTCATCGGTGCTTATTAGCCCGGAGACGTCTGTTAGTGGTTTCTTGCCGGAGCAGGACAACAACGTTGGTGGCCGGTATGATATATTCTCACGACTACCATTGCAATCGTATCAGACATCCTTGCTCCCAAACCTACGGTCCCTAGACTCTACGGATGTTTCGTTAGAGTACTCGGATTACGAGAATCAGGACTATTACGTGCGAGACCATAGCAGTTATGAATTCCCGATATTACCGTCTAACACGCTCCCCTACCAGAGCGGTGCTCTCTCGTCAGACGGGTTTGAGAAGCCAGCATCCGATTTACCAGCGTTAAGTCCAGGAAGCGATTATGAGGCGGATTATCCATCGGAGGGATTATCACCGGGATTTGAGTCAACGGAGGATATCACGGATTTTTCGTCTCCGGAGTTAGCGCAAGGAAAGACTTTCTCGTCACCGAATCCGTATCGGAAAGTGGACTGGAATACGGTCTGGCAACCGATATTAACTGCTGACCCGGTCACAAATGCACAGTTTACGATCAACGTGGAGGACGACAGGCACTCAAAACTCCCAACCAAGACGCTGGACAGTTACGTGGAGGGTCCAGGAGCGGACGGGAAGTACATCTGCAGATTCACCGACTGCGGCAAGAAATTTGGTAGGAAATATAACATCAGAACGCACATTCAAACTCATTTGTCCGATAAACCGCATTTGTGCACAGTGTGTGGGTCGCGGTTTGTGAGGCACCACGACTTAAGAAGACATTCTAAGACGCATGAGGATATGAAACCTTTCGTGTGCCCATGTGGAAAAGGGTTTGCTAGACAAGACGCGTTAAGTCGGCACCGTATCCGTCAGATCTGCGTAGGTGGTCTTAAAGTCCGGAATTGAAGTAGCGTGGCAGTGTTATATACGTGTGTGTGTCCGCGCCATTATTTCTTGTTGGGTCAATACGGTTTTAGGTGTTAATTTAAGCGGATTGGGTTGTCGGGAATGTTTCTGGGAGCCCTGTATGAAGTTCAAGATTGCGCAATGCAATTCTGGAATGTATTTCGATTTTAAGTATAATTTTGGTCTACGTAACAGCTGTCTGTGTTTGGATTCTTGATTGTATCTCAGTATTGCTTATTACTAGGTCAAATGTTGTACGAGACTCTTGAAAAATATGAAACGGGTTTACAGAAAAATCCTCGACGTCTCTTTGAACAGTGTGCACTAATTGATGCAATGAAACGGGGAGTAGTAACATATAGACACACGACGAGCAATGCACCAAAATATTTTCGTCCATTGCCAAGAAAACAAGTTTTTAGCCAAACAAATAAAATCCAATCAACATAAATGAAACAAGATGAAGCCTATACACAAAAAGCAAAGCATTGTACAAATGAGTAACTCTATGAGACATCGTTCATAACTATTCTTCGACGTTCAGTCGGCTCCCCGCCGTAAACTGCACAATCTTGTCAATAATATCTTTCCGTCCGCATTGTTTAGCAAGCGTATGGAATCTCAGCAGATGTTTGTCAAAAACCCACGGGAATTCTGAATGTTCCCACACCAAATCCCACGCCTTGTCTAAAAGATGAGCACGGACGTAAATATCGACCATAAACTGCACTGCCTTAAAATCCATTTTTTGTCGTTCTTCGGGGGGCAACGTCTCGTACTCCTTTGATTTCTTCCAAGCTTCACGCTCAGCGTAGACGGCTTTACCGAAATAAAAGTCTTTGGTTCGGAATGCGAGTTCGAGCGCGCTTTGATAGATGTATCTGTTGCGCAGCACTTTGACGGTGAATGCGGGGTCCGGCTTGCCGAAGCGGAGGTCGAATTGTTCAGTGTGCATGTCGATGCCATCTTCGTCAATGGAAGTTGAGTCGACTGTGGCGCGATGGGGTAAAGATGCGCCCTGGACATTCGTGTCGTATGCGCAGTCGGCTACCTTTGAGGTTTCGGGATCGATCATCGGCGTGGTCGATTCCGCGAACCAGAGTCTGTATTCGCGGTTTTGGTGATTGTTCGACGCGATTGAGAGATAGGTGTTGACGACAAAGTCGGTGATGAGGTCGGGGTGTGATCCTTGGAGATATCGCATAACGGCGTGGGCTTCGGCCAGGAGTTGGTCGACGTTCGCGATTCGAGAGACCGGTAAAAACGGTGGGAGGTCGACGTCAGTGTGACTGGAGATGTTATCGACAGGGATGAGCGCTTTTTGGACAGCCATGCCCAGATCCGTGTCGAGCGCGGAGTTGGCACCAAGCGAGCTCCTCCGTCTGAGGCAGATCGAGTACGCACGGAACAAACATTGGAATGAGTGCGGACATGGTCTGAACAACGGTTCCACATACAGTTGCAGCAGCAATAGACGCGCATACGCGACATCTCCGGCCACCGCACAGATATTCAGCATGAGTTCGATGGTAAACTGAGTCATTGGATACCCCCGATCTCTGGCCTCCAACAGATACTGCCATGCCTGGTAATGGTACTCGCGGCGAGTTGAGCACGCGTAGATTAACGCGTTCATGATGATCTGATTTGGTTCAAGTGGATTTAGCGGCCTCGTTGTCATCTCTTTGTACAAATCCAGCGCACGTTCAGTGTCCTTCATCGCACCGCACGCGCCAATCGCGATGGAGTATATCCGCTCGTCAGGCAAATTGGTTGTAGCACGGAACTTTAGCAAGTCGAAGATCTGGAACAGTTCGCGTAGTCGTCGCGTTTTGAAACACATGCGCATTAGAAGCGAGTAATGGTCCAAGTTCATTTCTAGACCTTCCCGGCTCATGGTGTCGACGATGTTTGCCATTGCCTTGAAATCTCGTAGATGGTAGTGAAGTTTGAGTATGTGTGTATATGTATGCTCTCGCAGCCCAAAGCCCTCTAATCGCCAGTTAGTCGCATGTTTCACATTGGTTACTCCCACACGAACTTACCGCTCTGCATTTCATCCACCAGTTTTTCAACCATATCTTTGTTCTTCGTTTCGGCGTATCCACCAATAAAGCTATCGTATAAATATCTGCTCATTTTGACGTTGCTAGACTACACAAAATCTCAGCATAGACCTCCTGCAAGCAGGACACTACATGGCAAAACCTACCTTGATCATATGCATCAACTCCTCGCCACGGTGCGCACGCACGTCCACCGGCAGCAAATTAACAAACTGCGTCACATCATCCCGTAAAATCCCATTCAGACCCGTCTCGGACAACTTGGTCACTATCGAATCCCAATCGCGCTTGGCATCCCGAACAGCCAGAACCTGCTCATCATTTACCCGGTCCTGGATCGCGTCGGGTAGAGCCAGTGATTTAGCCGTTGCTTGCGGAAAGAACATCAGGTTGTTCGGGCTGACCGCAGGAAATAAGCTTGCGTAGGCGGAGTCGATTTCCTGATCATCCAATCGAATCTGGAATGCCTGGGGTGCGGAATTAGTCCAGGGTCACTAACTTCTACATAAGCAATAATAACGCTACCTTTTCGGGATTCTTCATCATAGCATCTTTCTGATCCGCCAAATTGTTCCGCGAATACGTATTGGCACCAGTCTTGGTCCACATGAAATCACCTTCCACACCGTCGTGGTCGCGTCTCCCAATATCATTCGCCGCCCATCTCGTCACCGCGGCTGAAGTTCTCAAATTTCTCCTCCGCACCCGCATAGGCCGTAAACACGATATACCCTGCCTTCTAACAGCGTGCGGCGACCGCGACATACCTTCAAATAGAAACATCCATCCTATTCTCGCCTGGCGCAGCATATCCA